TGTACAGGGAGGCGTCGGGCCTCGAACGGGCATAACGAGTTTTTGCCGTTGGAAATTTGTTAAGGGGAATGTAAAGAGAATAAGTGGCGATTCCCTTTCTCCCGTCCCTTCGTGTCCCGACCGGCTGGTTCCCGTGGCGTATATAGGAGTCGCTTAGCCAGCCGGTCGCGGCTGACTCGGTTGATTGACTCCCGGGAATTGGAGGCACGGGATACCAGAAACGAGCGGCGCTAGCTTAGCGAGACTTAAAAAGGAACTGGAGCCCGTGGCTCGCGTTTGTCTTTTTGCGATCGCGGCGACCCCCTTTAAGCGCGCGCGGATCGACGTGCTCGCGTTTCACGGTGTCTTTCGGTGTCCCTCAGAAACGATCCGACCGACGATCGCCAACCGGCTGCCTGGCTGGCTGGCTGGCCTCTGCTTTTCCTCTTGCTGCCGGCGAACCCACGTCCCATGGATATCTTTGGCTTCGTGCCTGACTACTCTAGCTGGGCTCCTCTCTCGCGTCTCTTCTCTCTAACCTCTCTCCTCGATCCATGGGAACCGATCTCGTCCAGTTCCCCCGCACGAACAATCCCATTCAAATTCCACTCGCGATCATCGTGGAAAACGCATCGAGAGTTTATGTCCGTTAATTCGACGGTGCTCCCGTGAAATGTTGATAAATTTCGACACAGTTCGATTACCGGTGCGAATCTCCTGTTTAATTGGAGCAATTAATCGGCGCCTCGATGTTGGTATCCAACGTGGTTGAAAGTGTGTTTGATATAGCTGGTGGCTCGTATAACAGTACGTCGAAGTGAGACGTTAAGTGCGGCTCGTACGTTTTCTCCGGGACTCACAAATTCCCATTAGGCGCGATCCCTGATTCTTCGAGGCGGTGTTAAACGGCCCCGGCTGGTTTTTCGTACGGCATCGAGGCGTGTTGGATTCGGCGGATTCCAGTCTCTCTCCCGGCCATTGTCACCGTTCGTCCATATTAGCGGCGGCCCCCACGTTCGGGAGGGGCCGCGGAGATTAATTAGGGACGATGTTTTAGCGGCAAAAATGAGACGGGGCAAGAAGCGACGCACCATCAACAGCCGCCTGGACTCGCGCTAACTAACCGGCGAACGCCGACGATCGGACCGTTCAGAAACAGAGGGAACGAGAGAGACAGGGAACAGCCTCTCGTCACCCCCAGCGGCAAGAACGTGCTACAAATTAAGCCCAGATCGGCAGAAACCATCTCGAAAATTCGGCCAGCTTGTTCCTGCCTCGTTCGTCGTTCTCTTCTTTCGCTCGGGCCCGCTGCAAAAGAGCTGCGTCGAGACAGCGAGAAAGCGCGACCCCTCCGCGCTGGAATTCCGTACGCGAGATCGAACCGCGCGATTCGAACCTTTAATTGGCCCTTATCGGCCGCGTATCCGTCGCGAAAAATGTCCTGCCGCGGTTTTGATGGCTGCTCTCGACTGCCTCGATGATTGCACGACTGAGAGGGTTTCTCCTTGGGACACGATTCGAATTCATTTCTCGGTGTATTCTTTCTTCCCCGAGCGGAAGATTCTTTGTGAAAAAACAATTCTACCGACGTTATTAACCCTTTCGAATTATTTCATATTCCCAAAAGAACACCGTATCTGTTTTGACTACGAAATTTCACCGAAGATCGTTAAATTACGAAAGGATGAGAAACTTCGGTGACAATTTTACGATCGCGCGTGCGTCACACGGCGACAGAGGTGTGTTGGTAAATTTGAAAATCTCGATTCGTCGCGGTGAATATAGGAGAAAGAAGAGAAGAAGAAAGAAGCGTGTACCGGGAGATCGACCTCGTTCAACGATTTCGACGGCGATTTCGAAACGGTCGGTCAGAGACGATCCATGAATACGTCGGTGGACGTCGCGGCGCTCAAACGAGGGGGGCCTCTTTTGGCAGCGTCGGAACGATTACCGGTGGATTTATCGCGCTCGTTCCGTGTCATCGTGTCATTCATCGCGCGGACTATTCGGATCCTCGCGTCGTTTTATAGACGCGCCGCCAATTTTCACCCCCGACCTGTCTCCATAACTTTCGGCTATATTTAAGACACCCGTGTGTGTTCCGCGCACTTTACGTTTACACCCTGTCTGGTACCCGATGCTTCTCCACCGAATTATCCGGCGACGCGGTGGAATTCTCTCTGTTACCGTACGTTCGGTAGTAATTTCATTAATTAGCCGGCAATTTTAATAGGTCCGCTTTAAGAGCGAGCTGGAATTTTTACACTTCATAGTCTGTTTCACAAAGGATAATAGACCGTAAGGACATTCCACTTGTGTACACAGCGAGGAATGTTAATTAATAATCGATAACTTAGTAGCGGGCTATTTTTGCTTCCCCGCTAGGTATCGCATAGGATCAGTTACCAGGTGATAGGATCGAAGAACAATCTTAATTTAAACTGCGATATACCTTGCAGTACGAGTCTCATAAATACTCCATGCGACCCAGACCCAGATCAAACCGCAATTCTCATATCACAGTGTACTTACTATCACTTGATAATTCAAAGTCTTAAACTGTCTTAATAGAGTCTTAAACTGTCCTATCTAAAATGTCGTATCTATTTTTCATTTTTCAAGGTTCTTTGAAATATTTCGAGCTCCACGTGCGTTTCACCTTTAACCCTTTCACGACCAATAAAACAAATCCTTAAGAAAGGATCATCGATGACCCACGCACCGTAGAATAGTTCTCAATTCTCTAGATGCCCTACGTGGCTGTAATGAAAAATCCCTTTAAATTACCGCGGTATTCGACGCGTTAATCTAAGAAGAGCAGCTAAATCTTTATGAAAAATCCCCTTTCTAGTCGTCTGTCGGAAAAATCCGCAGCGTGGATAAGTGAGAAAAGAAAATGGAGTTGGTATCGCGGAGGATCGTGGCGGCGGAGCATCAACAGGAAGCGGTCGCCGGCGCCTTTATCGATCGATTCGCCGTGTCGATCGGCAGCCAAGGCGCTAATGGGTTAGTCAGCTCGAACACGACTCGAGGCGCACGGTTCCGTTGGCGCGAGCGAACCAGGCGGGGCGTAGAGGCCGCGAAAAATCTCCACGGTGTTTCTTTCTCTTTCTCTCGAGTACCACCGCTGCAACATATGTAAATGACGCCGCGAGAAAGAGAGAGAGAGTGTGTGTGCAACGATCCCGAGGCAGAACGCACACGGCTCCGTTCTCTCGCGTGTTCTCCCGGACCCGTTTCACGACGGCTATCTCACGCGGAGACACCGAGTCGCGCCTAGGAATAATAAATAGAGATAGACGAACGTAGATAGCCGAGGAACGGGGGACGGGGAGGCCGCGTGTCCTGCCCACGCAGAGATTATCTCGAGGAATTATGAGTGACCGCTCAGGCTTCTAGGTTATGTAAAGCCGACACGGCTATCGACGCCGCTCGTCCGTGAAATGGGCGACGGTTCTGGATCCACGTCGTTAACGGCTGATCGTTCAGCTGTGCTCGTTTCATTAGTGGAAAAATTCGGATGCTTGGGGGATTTTTACTCGAGGGGTGAAAGGTCGAAGGTCAAGTTCCTGAAGCGACAAGGAAGGTTGCACCTGGAAGGAATGAAAAAGGGTGTAGATCGTTCGTATAGATCTTCAATTTTCGAGCTTACGTTTGTAGAATATGATCGACAAGGGACAATCAAATTTTGTATTCTTTTTAACTGCTGATATTCATGTTTAGGGGTTGAAATCGTCTCATAGTGAAAATGAAATCGTGGAAACTTGCAATACTACGAGAATCAAATCTAGTTTCCTTTACGAGCAATCTTTCTTATAAAATTGTACGTCAATCCCTACAGTCCGGAATTTTAATATAGATCTCTTTCTAAAGATCGTATTCCATCGTCGACACATTAAACGTCTCCCTTTGCTCCGTCAATCATCTGTCAGCAGCTCGAGCGGTTACGATCTTTCTGTATTCCTTTTAATCGGCATAATTCATGGGATCATTGGCGATTTCTCACTAGCCAGGCTGAACGTGTAACAATAGGAAAGAAGCTGTGTGCACCGCGCGACGTCAGTCGTCCGTGAAAACACGCCGTTCTCGCGGCGACGCCGTGTTAAACACGTATTATACCGTTCTCCTCTAAAGTGGTCGCGCTTATTTTGTAATTGTCTGGTATCGGCGGTGGCGATCACAGTGATCGTCGATCGAGCACTCTCGACCGTGTGTCTATGTATGTTGGCTAATCGCCGGGAATTGTTTCCGCGACTAAAACCACTTCGAAGCTCCCACGAATCGCTTCATTACTCCACGTTGTGGCGTCTCGCGCAATTCTTCTCCCTCCGTTTTGTTTCAACTCCGTTCAAAGAACGTTCCCTCTTCTTCTTCTTTCACGTTTGCGCTCCGGTTGTTCGGTTTTATCGTTGCTGGAAAAACAGGCGAATCGACGGGCTCGTCTTTCGTCGTACGTTTCAATTAGACGCGACAAAAGGTGATCCGCGGAGAAACGGATTTTCACATTTTTACAGAACTGGTGGTAAAGGGAACGACGACGGCCAGGCCGGGGTAATTGCGACTTTCATCCTCGCGCGGCGAACCGTTCGAGAAGAATGCCATTCGCGCTCTTAATTCCCTTTTGCACGGGCCCACGGAAAGTGAGTTTTTCGTCCTGAAACGCTCTTTAGCGCCGAGATGCAATTAGCCCGGAATTAGCCGTGCATTCTCCCCGGTTTCTCTCCTCTCTCTCTCTCTCTCTGTCTTCCTCTTCTTCTTCTTCTTCTTTGCGCATAATGCCACTCGACGAATGGCTTCTCTTACCCGGTGGCAGCGATCAAGAAAGGGAGAACTGGAAGATCAACGTTGAAAATGTAAAGTAAAGTGACACCTGTTAGAGAGGCGGTAATATGTTTTAAATTAAAATAAGAAAGACCGACGTACGACGTATCGGTGAAAAAAAAAAGTAGTTGATAAAATAATCTGATTTGAAGGAAATACAGTAAAATTCGACTAAAGCTTCTCCCTTTCTTTTGTTTCAGACGTCACGGGTAAGTGGACAAGCGAATTCTTTCTCCCCTCGTAGCTTTCCTTCTTCTTCTTTTTTTTTTCTCTCTTTCGTTCTTAGAGTTGTCCGGTTGGTCTAGAGCAACCGGTGGATCGTCGGTAAGCTCGACACGATCCAGTCCCGATCCTTTCGGCGCGCGCGGAAATCCCTTCGCGCAGCAATTGCCGCGCACGCACTTTAATGATCGTAATTAACGAAGCAGTTCGTTACACTTGTAAACTCCCGCGTCTCGGCCGGTTAAGGCGGTTTTCATGCCGCGTGCACGGGGCCCCGTTCGAGAAAACTCGTCCGCCAAACGATTTAATCGCCGTCTCACCGATCC